CGCCGCCCACCCCCGGCCCGGCGCCTTAAGGGCGCAGGAGCGGCAGGAGCCGCCTCGCCGCCGCCCCGCCCCGCTCACGTGACGGCTACTGCCCCGCCTGCTTCTCCATCTGCCCGCGCCCGACACCCCTCACCGGCGCGAGGACCTGAGCGCGCGCCCGCCACGCGTGCGGGACCTCCCCTGCGCGTGCGCATGCGGGTCAGTCAAGTCCTCTTCAATAGTTTCACCAATGACCGGGATGGAGTGTGTCCTCAGAAAGTTTGCTGACAATATCAAGCTGGGAGGGGTGGCTGGCACCCCAGAAGGCTGTGCCGCCATCCAGCGAGGCCTGGACAGGCTGGAGAGTTGGGCAGAGGAACCTGATGAAATTCAACCAGGGCAAGTGTAGGGTGCTGCACCTGGGGAGGAATAACCCCCTGCACCAGGACAGCTTGGGGGTGACCTGCTGGAGAGCAGCTCTGAGGAGAAAGACCTGGGAGTCCTGGTGGACAACAAGATGACCATGAGCCAGAAATGTGCCCTTGTGGCCAAGAAGGCCAATGGCATCCTGGGGGGCATTAAGAAGAGTGTGACCAGCAGGCTGAGGGATGTCATCCTGCTCCTCTGCTCTGCCCTGGGGGGCCCCCATCTGGATCACTGGGTCCAGTTCTGGGCTCCCCAGTTCCAGAAGGACAGGGAACTGCTGAGAGGGTACAGCAGAGGACTACAAAGATGATGGGGGGCCTGGAGCATCTCTCTTAGGAGGAGAGGCTGAGGGACTTGGGTCTTTGTAGTCTGGAGAAGAGAAGGCTGAGGGGGGATCTGATCAACACCTGTAAATACTTAAAGGGTGGGTGTCAGGAGGATGGGGCTGGTCTTTTTCCAGTGGTGCCCAGCAACAGGACGAGGAGATCGGCACAAACTCAAATATAAGAAGTTCCACCTAAACATGAGAAGGAACTTCTTCACTTTGAGGGTGGCAGAGCCCTGGAACAGGCTGCCCAGAGAGGTGGTGCAGTCTCCTTCTCTAGAGACATTCAAAACCCACCTGGACACGTTCCTGTGCAACCTGCTCTGGGTGGACCTGCTTTGGCAGAGGGGTTTGACTAGATGATCTCCAGAGGTCCCTTCCAACCCCATATCATTCTGTGATACTGTGTGTGCATATCACTGAGTCACAGAATGGTTTGGGTTGGAAGGGACCTTAAAGCCCAACCAGTGCCACCCCCTGCCCTGGGCAGGGACACCTCCCACCACACCAGGTTGCTCCAAGCCCCCTCCAGCCTGGCCTTGAACCCCTCCAGGGATGGGGCAGCCACAGCTTCTCTGGGCAACCTGGGCCAGGCTCCCAGCACCCTCACAGCAAAGAAGTTCTTCCCCACATCTCAGCTCCATCTCCCCTCTTTCAGTGTCAAGCCCTTCCCCCTCATCCTATGGCTCCCCTCCCTGATCAAGAGGGATCCCCTCCCCAGCTTTCCTGGAGCCCCTTTAGGGACTGGAAGGGGCTCCAAGGTCTCCCCGGAGCCTTCTCTTCTCTGAGCTGAACCCCCCCAACTCTCTCAGCCTGTCCTCACAGCAGAGGGGCTCCAGCCCTCCCAGGATCTCCGTGGTCTCCTGTGGCCCTGCTCCAAGAGCTCCATGTTCCTCTGCTGAGGAGCCAGAGCTGGAGGCAGCACTGGGGGGTGTCTCCCCAGAGCAGAGGTGCAGAATTCCCCCCCCTTCACCCTGCTGGCTACGCTGCTGGGGATGCAGCCCAGGGTGCGGGGGGTTTCTGGGCTGCCAGCACACATTGCTGGCTCGTGTTGAGCATCTCATCCACCAACGCCCCCAAGCCCTTCTCCTCAGGGCTGCTCTCCAGCCATTCTCTGCTCAGCCTGGATTTGTGGTGGGGGTTGCCATGACCCAGGTGCAGGACCTTGCACTTTTGGCTTTGTTGAACTCCATGAGGTTCACATGAGCCCACCTCTCCAGCCTCTCCAGGTCCCCCTGGATGGCATCCCTTCCCTTGATTGCTTCACACCGCTTGTTCTCATCGGCGAACTTGCTGAGGGTGCGGGCTCTAGAAGTGTCCCAAGAAGGGAAAAAATAGCTGTGTTCACTCAGTGTGACAAAGAAATTGAAAGTCAGGGGGGAGGGGGGAGCTGCTGGAGAGGGACAGGTCACTTCTTAGGAATGTCCTGCCTTTGGAAATACTGAAGTAGCCTCCATCCCCATCACACACAGCCAGGGCTTCATGCAAGCTCCCAGAGCTGAGGCGGGGCTGGAGCCTCCCTCTGGTCTGAAAGCATTGAGGTCTTTCCAGCTCCAAGTGGGGCATTTGACATGGCCAGGAGCTATGTTCTCCCTGGTTCCCACAGCTGCTCTAGGTGCAAAGCACAGCAGGGTGAGATCCTGTGGGTCAGTGCTTTTGCACTTTGGGAGGGAGGAAGAAGGAAAAGCAGACAAGTGACGTTTGGAGGTCTGGGCGGGCTGGAGGGGAAGCTCTGCATCCCAGCAGTGCTGGCTGTGGAGGATTGCAGCTCTGTGTCAAGTTCAGGTGCCGGCACTGCAGGATGAGGCCACAGAGTGCCCCTGCGGGCACCCAGCAGTGGCAGCTGTGCAGCCAGGACACACATGCTGCCGTGGGCAGGCATCTCTGGAAATGCCAATGCACAGCAGGCAAAGGAGGTGTGCAGTCTTCCTCACAGGCTGGCAGCACCAGAGATGCTGACCAAAGCCCTGACACTTCTCAAGCACTCCAGCCCCCCGGGGCTACTGCCAGGGAGTAGGCTGCAGCCTTGGGGCCATGTCCTGAGCAGATGGCAGCCCTGCTCCAGTCTTTGCCTCTGAGCTCCCTCCCCTTCCAGCAGATGTGGTGTCCTGCCTGTGGCTGTGTCCTGCACTGCAGGGTGCTTTGCAATGCCGTGGTCCACCCCTGGGCTACTGGGCTCCTGCATTGCTGGAAGCTGACCATGTTTCCTTCTCCTCTCCTTCCTGGGGGCATGGGCAAGGTGGATTTGTGGCCAAGAGGTCCCCAGGGAGGAGCAGGCAGTGCCAGAGGCACTGCAGCAGGAGCTGATCCAGGCTCCCTTGGTAAGTGTGGTGCCGCAGGACAGACCCTGGCAGGGGTGTCCGTGATCTTCCTGAGCCTTTGCTGGCTCCTTTGGCAGGGCAGGGAGCGGGACAGGCTGTGCTTGCTTCACAGGATCCCTTGAGGACTCTGCACAGAACAAGGGCCAAAGGTGAGCAGAGGAAAAAATACAGGCAATGGATTCACTCAGCAGGGTTTAACTCCTGCTAGCCAAGGATGTGGCAGGGCAGAGCTCACTGCCTTGGTGCTGCAGTCCCACAGCAGGATGTGAGCTGGACTAAAATCATAGAACGGTTTGGCTGGAAGGGACCTTAAAGCCCAACCAGTGCCACCCCCTGCCCTGGGCAGGGACACCTCCCACCACACCAGGTTGCTCCAAGCCCCCTCCAACCTGGCCTTGAACCTCTCCAGGGATGGGGCAGCCACAGCTTCTCTGGGCGACCTGGGCCAGGCTCCCAGCACCCTCACAGCAAAGAAGTTCTTCCCCACATCTCAGCTCCATCTCCCCTCTTTCAGTGTCAAGCTTCCAACAACAAGGAAGTCATTGGGAGAAGTCAGCACAGCTTCACCAAGGGGAAGTTCTGCTTAGCCAAACCAACCACCTTCTGTGAGGAAGTGACTGGCCTGGCAGAAGCAGTAGAGCAGTGGACACTGTCTACCTGGGCTTCAGAAAGGCCTTTCACACGGTCTTCCATCAGATTCTGCTAGAGAAGCTGTTGATGTATGGGCTGGACGGGCAGATGATGAGGTAGATTGAAAACTGACTGAATGGCTGGATTCAGGGGGCAGTTGTCAGTGACACAAGGTCTAGTTGGAGGCCAGCAACTGATGGTATGTCCCAGAGGCCAATACTGGGTCACATCCTGTTTAACATCTTCATTACTGACCTGGATGGTAGCGCAGAGTGCACCCTCAGCAAGTTTGCAGATGCCACCACACTGAGAGGGGGTGCTGATAAAGGAGGGGGTCGTGCATCCATCCAGTGGACGAGCTGGAGAAACGGGCTGGCAGGAACCTTATGAAGCTCAGCCAGGGAAAGTGCAAAGTCCTGCCCATAGGAACAAACAACTGCAGGCACTGGGACATGCTGGGGGCCACCTGGCTGGAAAGGAGCTCTGCAGAAAAGGCCCTGGGTTTCCTGGTGGACACCAAATTGGCCAATTGGTTCAGTGTGTCCTGGGGGCAGAGCAGATGAATGGTGTCCTGGGCTGCATCAGGAGTGTTGTCAGCAGATCCAGTTTAGGATTATCCCAGTGCAATTGTGCGACAAAATGGGGAAAAGGACTGAGACGTTCAAATTAACAATTTATTTGGACTTCACTCACAGGTTCAATACACCACTATTGCAGGTTCTATGTGTACGATGGCGATTATACTATTGCAATTTAAAAGCAATTCGTGGAAGACACTTTTGCAACCTACAAGTGATCCCGAAAAGTAACACCACAAACCACAAGCGCGCTAGATATTAATATTTTAAAAGAGTGCACCAATCACAATCTTAATAGCATGCCATATGCCATACATATGTTTCTTAATCCCTTACCCTCTCTATTGGGTAAGGTCGCTCAATCCCTGGGAAGTTACCATGTACAGCGTCCTGGATGAATCTCCTATATCATTGGAAGATTCCTTATTTTTCTCCCCGAACCTTCCAGTTCATATTTCCTGATTCAGTGGGGGTGCAGGACTATGCCTGAGTGGATTACACTATCTGGGATACTGGGTGCTGTGGTGGCTAAGTCTCTGTTGCCAATTTCTCGGGGCTACTGCCAGGGAGTAGGCTGCAGCCTTGGGGCCATGTCCTGAGCAGATGGCAGCCCTGCTCCAGTCTTTGCCTCTGAGCTCCCTCCCCTTCCAGCAGATGTGGTGTCCTGCCTGTGGCTGTGTCCTGCACTGCAGGGTGCTTTGCAATGCCGTGGTCCACCCCTGGGCTACTGGGCTCCTGCATTGCTGGAAGCTGACCATGTTTCCTTCTCCTCTCCTTCCTGGGGGCATGGGCAAGGTGGATTTGTGGCCAAGAGGTCCCCAGGGAGGAGCAGGCAGTGCCAGAGGCACTGCAGCAGGAGCTGATCCAGGCTCCCTTGGTAAGTGTGGTGCCGCAGGACAGACCCTGGCAGGGGTGTCCGTGATCTTCCTGAGCCTTTGCTGGCTCCTTTGGCAGGGCAGGGAGCGGGACAGGCTGTGCTTGCTTCACAGGATCCCTTGAGGACTCTGCACAGAACAAGGGCCAAAGGTGAGCAGAGGAAAAAATACAGGCAATGGATTCACTCAGCAGGGTTTAACTCCTGCTAGCCAAGGATGTGGCAGGGCAGAGCTCACTGCCTTGGTGCTGCAGTCCCACAGCAGGATGTGAGCTGGACTAAAATCATAGAACGGTTTGGCTGGAAGGGACCTTAAAGCCCAACCAGTGCCACCCCCTGCCCTGGGCAGGGACACCTCCCACCACACCAGGTTGCTCCAAGCCCCCTCCAACCTGGCCTTGAACCTCTCCAGGGATGGGGCAGCCACAGCTTCTCTGGGCGACCTGGGCCAGGCTCCCAGCACCCTCACAGCAAAGAAGTTCTTCCCCACATCTCAGCTCCATCTCCCCTCTTTCAGTGTCAAGCTTCCAACAACAAGGAAGTCATTGGGAGAAGTCAGCACAGCTTCACCAAGGGGAAGTTCTGCTTAGCCAAACCAACCACCTTCTGTGAGGAAGTGACTGGCCTGGCAGAAGCAGTAGAGCAGTGGACACTGTCTACCTGGGCTTCAGAAAGGCCTTTCACACGGTCTTCCATCAGATTCTGCTAGAGAAGCTGTTGATGTATGGGCTGGACGGGCAGATGATGAGGTAGATTGAAAACTGACTGAATGGCTGGATTCAGGGGGCAGTTGTCAGTGACACAAGGTCTAGTTGGAGGCCAGCAACTGATGGTATGTCCCAGAGGCCAATACTGGGTCACATCCTGTTTAACATCTTCATTACTGACCTGGATGGTAGCGCAGAGTGCACCCTCAGCAAGTTTGCAGATGCCACCACACTGAGAGGGGGTGCTGATAAAGGAGGGGGTCGTGCATCCATCCAGTGGACGAGCTGGAGAAACGGGCTGGCAGGAACCTTATGAAGCTCAGCCAGGGAAAGTGCAAAGTCCTGCCCATAGGAACAAACAACTGCAGGCACTGGGACATGCTGGGGGCCACCTGGCTGGAAAGGAGCTCTGCAGAAAAGGCCCTGGGTTTCCTGGTGGACACCAAATTGGCCAATTGGTTCAGTGTGTCCTGGGGGCAGAGCAGATGAATGGTGTCCTGGGCTGCATCAGGAGTGTTGTCAGCAGATCCAGTTTAGGATTATCCCAGTGCAATTGTGCGACAAAATGGGGAAAAGGACTGAGACGTTCAAATTAACAATTTATTTGGACTTCACTCACAGGTTCAATACACCACTATTGCAGGTTCTATGTGTACGATGGCGATTATACTATTGCAATTTAAAAGCAATTCGTGGAAGACACTTTTGCAACCTACAAGTGATCCCGAAAAGTAACACCACAAACCACAAGCGCGCTAGATATTAATATTTTAAAAGAGTGCACCAATCACAATCTTAATAGCATGCCATATGCCATACATATGTTTCTTAATCCCTTACCCTCTCTATTGGGTAAGGTCGCTCAATCCCTGGGAAGTTACCATGTACAGCGTCCTGGATGAATCTCCTATATCATTGGAAGATTCCTTATTTTTCTCCCCGAACCTTCCAGTTCATATTTCCTGATTCAGTGGGGGTGCAGGACTATGCCTGAGTGGATTACACTATCTGGGATACTGGGTGCTGTGGTGGCTAAGTCTCTGTTGCCAATTTCTTGATGTCTGGCACTCAAAGTCATGGGAATAGTGGTGGGACAGGACTTGGGGCATTTTGTTTGTTAAGGGAATCACGGAATTGTCAGAGTTGGAAGGGACCTCTAGAGATCATCTAGTCCAACTCCCCTGCTAAAGCAGGATTGCTCAGAGCACATCACTCAGGACTGAATCAAGGTGGGTCTTGAAAAATCTCCAGAGAAGGGGATGCCTTGAGCTCTCTGGGCAGCCTGTTCCAGGGCTCTGGCACCCTCACCGGAAAGAAGTTTTTCCTCATATTTGAATGGAACTTCCCATGTTCCAGCTTGTGCCCATTTCCCCTCATCCTATCACTGGAAACCACTGAAAAGAGCCCGGTTCCATCGTCCTTCAACCCACTCTTTAGATACTTGTAAATGTAGATAAGGTCTCCCCTCAGCCTTCTCTTCTCCAGGCTCAAGAGCCCCAGCTCTTTGAGCTTTCCTCATAAGGGAGGTGCTCCAATCCCTTAATCATCTTAGTTTCCCTACGCTGGACTCTCTCCAGCAGTTCCCTGTCTCTCTTGAACTGGGGAGCCCAGAACTGGAGGCAGGATTCCAGTTGTGGCCTCCCCAGTGCAGAGCAGAGGGGCAGAATGACCTCCCTCCACCTCCTGGCCACACTCTTCCCTACACAGCCCAGGATGCCATTGGCCTCTTGCCCACAAGGACACATTGCTGGCTCCTGGAGAGTTTGCCATCCACCAGGACCCCTAGATCCTTCTTCTCAGAACTGCTTCCCAGCAGGTCCACCCCTAACCTATACTGGTGCCTGGGGTTCTTCCTCCCCAGGTGCAGGACCCTACATTTGCCCTTGCTGAACCTCATCAGGTTCTTCTCTGCCCAGCTCCCCAGCCTGTCCAGGTCACGCTGGATGGCGGCACAGCCCTCTGGAGTGTCGGCCAGCCCTCCCAGTTTGGTATCATCAGCGAACTTGATGAGGATACGCTCTGTCCCCTCATCTGGGTCGTTGATGAATAAGTTGAACAGGACTGGGCCGAGTATGGACCCCTGGGGGACACCGCTGGTTACAGGCCTCCAACTTGACCCTGCTCCATTAAGGACAACCCTCTGAGTTCTGTCGCACAGCCAGGACTCAGTCCACCTCACTGCCCCCTCATCCAGCCCACACTGCCTTCAGCGGGGCAAGGTGGAGGTGAGCACGACGGGGAGGGGATGGGGGGGTCGGCGCGGGCGCCGCCGTGGGTAACGGGGGTCTCTCCTCCCGCAGAGCTGCGGCGGGTGACGGCTGAACCGGCTGAGGGAGGTAGGTGCTGCGGAACCGGGGTGGGGGAGGGCAGGCCGTGGTGGGGAGGTCGCCCCGGCGCTGAGCCGGGCCCGGCCGCCCACTCTACCCGCAGGTGAAGGCCTTCGTCACCCAGGACATTCCCCTCTAGTACCCGCCGGTGGCCACGACAACCCTGAGCCGCCAGCAGCGTTCGGGTTGGGGGCGCTGCCGGGATGGGCGGTGGGGATGGGATGCGATGGAATGGAATGGAGGACGGGACAGGATGCAGTGGAGGACAGGGTGAGACTGGATAAGGGCTGGGAAGGGATGGGATGGGGGACGGGACAGGATGCAGTGGAGGACAGGGTGAGACTGGATGAGGGCTGGGAAGGGATGGGATGGGAGGGAATAGGATGTGACAGAGGATGCAATGGGGGGACCACATGGGCCTGTCCAGCACTGTCTGCTCCTTAACACACCACCCAGCCATAACCTGGAGATGAAGCACTTGCCCGGCGCTGACCCTGAGCTCGTGCTCCTCAGCCACCGATATGAGGAGCTGGAGGTGAGTGTGCAGCATGTCACCCACTGCCACTGCAGGGTCTGGGGTTGTTGGTGTCCCACAGGCACCAGGCTGCAGTCCCTGTCTGCATGCAGAGAATCCCCCTGAGTGACATGACCCGTGAGGAGATCAACCAGCTGGTACAGGAGCTGGGCTTCTACCGCAAGGAGACACCTGATGCCCTGGTGCCTGAGGAGTTCCAATTTGCCCCTGCCAAGCATCCCTCCATCCTGCTGCCCCCTCAAGCTGACAGCAAGATCCCACCTGAACGTGATGAGCGAGAACACCCAGACCTCTAGCAGGGAGTGCCACACTCGAGAGAGGATCCTGCAGCCAGTCCTCACTGCGCAGGGACAAGGGCTTTACAGCAGCTGGGGACAGTGCCCTGGGGTGGCAAAGTTGCCCCTGCTGTTTCTTGGTGCTGTGTAGCCTCTGCCCTGAGGTTGTCCTGGGTGGCTCTAGCCTTGAGCAGGGACTCCCTGGGCATTGAGGACATCCCAGGGATCCTGTGTGCCTGTTGCTGTCCTCCCTGCCCTGTAGCCTGGTCGGTCTGGAGGGGCAGCGTTCTTCATGCTCCCTTGCCATGCCCTGAGGCTTAGCTGATTCCTGGTGCTGGGCAGTGGTATCTTACCTGCATGGGACAGGATGAAACCTTCAGCAGAAAGCCCCAGGTGCTGAGGGTAGATGTGCTGAGTCCTAGAGGTGAGAGAGCTGCCTCCCGGGAGTATGGCTTTACACCCCAGCAGGATTGTCTTTTATCAAGCTCCCAGTAAAGCCCTTGCATACAATGGGCTGCACTGTGTTGTCTTTCTGGGGGGGCTTGGTGGGGCACATCCTGCAGTGCTCTGTACTGGGTGTCAGAAGGAGCTGGGTTCCCCAGAGCCCCTTGCAGTGGTGGGAGGGGATGGCAGGGTCACCCTGTGTACACAACCACCACTGGCGAGCTGACAAACTCCCATGGCCTAGGCTTGCTGTTCTGTGCCACCCCTTTCCTGATGGATGGATAGATAGATGGGGCACCATAGCTTGGGATGAGCTGTCCTTACTGGAGTGCAGGGACATAGGTGTAACCCCACAAATAGGTCCTGCAGTGGTGAGCCACAGCCCAGTGGCTGTGCTGGCCTGGTGGGGACACGTGGCCCTCAGCTGGGGAAGGGAGCAGGACATGGCTGCACCATCTGCAGACCTGGCTCTGCACAGCTTTGGTGGCAACGTAGGATCTTCTCCCCATGCCAGGGTGGGGGGCAGTGGGAGGCAGTGAACCAAGAGCCCTTTGCCAGGATGGGATGTGGATGGTGCCCCTCAGCTCTGGGCATTGTCCCTGAGCAGGAGGAGCAGCATATTCCCTGTGTTGTTCCCTCCCTGGGCTGGGTGAGCAGCGGGCCTGCAGAGGGGCCGGCTGCCAGCCCTTCCCCAGGCGCTATGTTGTGCCCTGCACTGGTGGCACAAAGCAGTGGCACAGCGGAGGAGGAGGACCCAAGGCAGAGGCATCACCCTATAGAATAAACCTTTATTGTCTGGCTGGTGTTGGTACACGTGTCAACGCAGGTGTAGAGGCAGTGATGGAGGGGCAAGCAGCGCTGAGCACGTGGTGCCCCAAGCTGGGGAAGAGAGTGGGGTCTGCTATCCTGGCTCTCTCCTTGGGCCCCTCACTCCCCTGGGACCTCTTACCCC